CCTCTACATATCTGCCACTCTATTGCCCATGACTCCACCATGTTCCGTTACTCAAATGAGGCTAACCGGGTTCCTATGTACTAAGAGTGTTAAGAGCTGAAGGATATTCACACCAGCTTTGAGCGGCCCTCGTGTGCTCTCAAGTCGACTAGCGCCGCCTTGCCTGCCAGATTGTATATCGCAGAGCACCCTACTCTCAGCATACTGCTTCGGACATAATTCAATGGCATGCACCTCAGTCTGAAAAACTAAGTTTACTTGAGAAATTGTATTCTAGAGACCCATCAGTATACCCTATGTGGCTATTATCCTCATCCGTCCATTGTCAATTGGTTCTGTTAGGAAGGAAGAACTTTATGTTAAATCTCGAAAGCAACAATTTGACGAAGCAAGCTTCTTATCCTCCACATTGTCCCATAAAATTAGTCTTTTTGTAAACGGTAGTGCCTCGCTCTTGATTACAATTTATAGAGGAGGCAGCTCTTGAAGGGATTGAAGAACCGCGGTTGGTTTTCTCCTCATCGCACAAGTCATGCCCACGCAGGCTAGTCGTTATAGTTTGCTGACCTTGTTATGCGTTTACTCCACTTCAAAATATATTCAACCAGCAGTATGCATTAGAATGGGCATACCTCGGAGACTAGTTTACGCTCATTCGTTTTCCCTTTCATCATATATCCCAATACTAGCTCTGGTGAAAACGTGACTACTGTTTCAGAGTTATATATTTTACGCCCGAAACTATTCTAGTCTAAAAGAAGGACTTGAAGCCAGTGTTGCCAACTTATGATTTTCAAAAAGCACCAAAAACTTGGAAAAAGGCGTTTTACCAAACTAAAAGCACCAAATTTTTTTTAATCAAAGGATGCTTTTTTTCATAACAGTTTGTATTTAACAAAATGAAAAAATTAGCAATATTTACAAGAATACATACATAAATCAATACACAAAACTTTTTCGCTCATAACGATTGAATAGCCTCTACACATGCTATGATGACTCATGTTTATGACGTTGTACCGAAGTACTGCCCATTAAAGTTGGTATATCTCGAGAACAAAAATCGAATCGCAACAAACGAAAATGATGCCCTAAGTAGAAATGAGCAAAAAATTTGATGTTTTCATTATATAACCTCAAAAAACCGTTTTTTTTGGCNCGTGTCATTAAGGAACCTCGCGATTTCCAGTGGCTGAATGCCATATAGGTTATATGCTTCTTGGTACGAGATCGTAAGAAGCGAAGTCTGGTCCTAGTAGGGGGTTCGCAGTGGCACATGATGGACTCTGCTCTTCCCGCTCCTCGCGAAAAGACCTATAAGAGTCAGATTAAACAATTCCCACGTGCAACGAATAATTTCAATACCAATTCTTACTTCGGGCCTAGCAAGGTGAAATAGTGCTTAGACAGTCTGCTCTCCTTGTCAATTGAGTACAGAGCGGCAACGAGGTCTTCAAGTAACTAGCCGGCAGCACCTGGGACAAAGACAAAGGAACAGTTTTGGAAACATACAAGGCAATTGCCTTCTGATGTCGCTTCAATGCCACCTTCATGACGAGTACCATATGTTTCACATCAAGGAGCATAACACAATGATCTGTAGTGAGATCCTGGTAGAGTTCCACAGACGTGGGCATCCATACAGACAACTGATTGTAGAATAACCGTCGCCAAGGCACGTCAGGAGGCATCTCTACGGTTCATAAAATAGCCTCTGGACTCAACTTCGTACCGACAGGCCTTAAACGGCATTCACAGGGAGTCGGTCGCGGGTTATTTAGACTCCCGACCTGTGAATACTGTTTTGGGGGCACAACCACTCGCTGTAGACGAGACAGAGATTTGTCTGCCGCGAGAGACTCGCATGACAATATTCCAACTTTGCTCTGGCTACTGCAACAGGCATGAGCCTGAGCAGAGTGAACGCGCCCCCCACCCGGTGGAAGTTGCACACTTCCTTGGCCTCCCTTTAGCTGAGCCTGACGACAACAACAATAGTGCTTAGGTTCTCCTCAGTCTGATTGCTGCCTTTTATACTGGTTCAGTAATGCTCCGCTACCTTCTTCATCAAGCTATAATAATTCCATCGCAGACAGATAAGTTATTTATGCCTATGTATGCCTAGAGAATAAATATCTGCCATTCTATTGCCCATGACTCTACCATGTCCCGTTACTCAAATGAGGCTAACCTATGTGCTATGAGTGTTAAGAGCGAAAGGATATTCCACACCAGCTTTGAGGGGCCCTCGTGTGCTCTCAAGTCGACTAGCGCCGCCTTGCCTGCCAGATTGTATATCGCAGAGCACCCTATTCTCAGCATACTGCTTCGGACATAATTCAATGGCATGCACCTCAGTCTGAAAAACTAAGTTTACTTGAGAAAGAGCCTTCTAAATTGTATTCTAGAGACCCATCAGTATACCCTATGTAGCTATTATCCTCATCCGTCCATTGTCAATTGGTTCTGTTAGGAAGGAAGACCTTTATGTTAAATCTCGAAAGCAATAATTTGACGAAGCAAGCTTCTTATCCTCCACATTGTCCCATAAAATTAGTCTTTTTGTAAACGGTAGTGCCTCGCTCTTGATTACAATTTATAGAAGAGGCAGCTCTTGAAGGGATTGAAGAACCGCGGTTGGTTTTCTCCTCATCGCACAAGTCATGCCCACGCAGGCTAGTCGTTATAGTTTGCTGGCCTTGTTATGCGTTTACTCCACTTCAAAATATATTCAACCAGCAGTATGCATTAGAATGGACATACTTCGGAGACTAGTTTACGCTCATTCGTTTTCCCTTTCATCATATATCCCAATACTAGCTCTGGTGAAAACGTGACTACTGTTTCAGAGTTATATATTTTACGCCCGAAACTATTCTAGTCTAAAAGAAGGACTTGAAGCAGCCGGAATTACTCAATATATGACATACATACATTCGTGATAATGTAATCGCCAGTGACCAGTTAACTATAAATCTATTTTTAGTATAGTTAAAGTGATGCATCCAAGGCCCAGTAGATGCGCTGTCTCTTTTATTTTTTCACTTGGCTATTGAGCCTGCTCTCAAACGTGCCCGTTCGCTTATTAAAGTTGCTGTTTCTTTCGCCATTAGGTTAATCGTAGCCGCAACGGAAATCGCGAAGACGGCTTCGCCCTACATCGTGCTAAAACTGCTGCAAACTCGGAGTGCGCAAAGACTGTATCCTGAGTTGATTCCGCGGTATATGAAGAACTCTGAGTTGCAATCGATCTAGTTAAAGCAACATGAAGCAATTGGCTAGAAGTTACGGGCGCCGTTGTTTCGGCGTTGATATCGCACATCGTCTTCAAAAGAGTCACAACTCAAAATTTAGCATAAATGCTTAAAACAGAAAATTTGAAATTACGCGCTCAAAGTCTACGCAGAGCTTTTATTCAGAAAAACTTGGAGAAAATTTTTGTTATAAGTTGTTTAAAAAAAACCTAAGGTAAAGTCATCTGCTAAGAAATATTTTTCCGCATTTTCTGACAAACATATTATTTGTTGTGTGTAGTTGTGACTCTTTTGAAGACGTGGTGCGATATTTTCAGAACTTTTCTTGTTCCTCTGCTTACTGTCAGAAAGTGTAAAGGGATACTCGATATCAAGGAGATGATTTTGTTCGTAAAACTCCGTCATACGCATCATTCCGCCACAACGGATACCTGTGAGTTAATACTGCTATCTTAAAACAACCTTACCGGCGGAAAACGATATTTTTCAGAATGTTGCTCAGAATCCTTTCGACACTTGTCGTGATTATTTGTGTTTTCATTTTCATGATTTCGGAAATTTTGGGAACTTTTCTGGATGTTTTTTAGACTTTTCTGGAGGTATGGTGTTTTATTTGTCGGTATGTTTCCTGGATTCTTTCGAAATACCTCTTATCCTATTATTCGGATTTTATTTTTTTTTAATTTCTTCTCATCGGTATAATTTTGAAGATATTCAAGATTCCTTGTGTATTATTTTTCAATTTATTTGGGACTTATCCCATTTTCCGGAATGTGTTTTTTATGCTTTATTTTAAGGATATTTGAGTTTCCTTGTGGATTTTTTGTTTAGATTTTTTTCGGGACCCTTCGAGATTTTGGTGGTACCCTTTTTGTCTTTTCGGATTTTTGCGGCACTTAAAATTTGTATGGATTTTTTTGGGAAAAATTGTAGGATTTTTTCGAGATTTATTGGAATTCCTTGCATTTGATTTCTCGAGATCTTTCCGGGACTTTTCTCGTTTCTTCGGGATTTCTTTTTCGGAATATTCTTTTGAGATTGTTTTGGGACTTTCGGGATGCCTCAAGATTTAAATATTTAATTTTTTGAGGATATTTGAAATGCGTTTTGTATTATTTTTTGGACTTCTTCGAACTATCCGAGATTTTTGTAGAACTTTTCGGGTTTTTTCAGGACCTAATTTTTCTTGTCTGGATTATTTGGGGGAAAATTTTGGTTTTGTCGTTTTCGTTTGTGTTCTTTGCATTTTTTTCTCGGGACCATTCCGGGACTTTTCTCGGTTTTTCGTAATTATTTTTCGGAATATTTTTTGGGACTTTCGAGATGCTTTGAGGTTTAAATATTTTAAGTCTTAAGTTTACTTTTTATGAATACCCGAAAAGCAAATGGGAAAAATTGCTGATAATTTTTTGCTTTGAAAATTACAGATACATACTCAAAAACTAAAAAACATAGACCATAGGTATTTTATCTATAAATAATAAATAAAGGTAAAAAATTACTACAACTTTACGCCCAAAATCATAAGAAACAAAGAGAACTTTAAATGCTTTAGAAATCGTCTATCACTTATTTTATTTAACTCAACAAGTACTATATACATATATATTATATATATGTACATATACATATATACATATGTTTAAGTAGGTATCTGTAGGCAAATAACTAGAACTTAACTTCCACACTCATTCGTCTAATCAACCATATTTACAATATTTACAATTCTCCTTTCTTCTCTTGCAGCTTCAAAGCCCTTAAGTGCAGATGTAGTTGAGGAACGGGAAAAAAAAACGCTGTCGTGCAGTGAATGTCATCGTCAGCACGCCAAAGACGCATCAGTCTAGCCGAGCTCCAGCAGCACCGGCAGAGAGCTCGCTGAAGTACATAGTTTCATGTTGTTGTTGGTGCTTTACAAACTGATGAAAATTGCAATTTGTAAAAGCGAGATGTGAGCGCTAAAGTTTGCATAATAGTGAGAAAGTATGTAGGAATAAAAGATTGTAGTTGGTAAAAGAAAAATAATAGTACCTTCAAATAAAAAGAAAACAGAAAAAGTGATCTTCGAATATGAAATTGCGTTCTAATGAAATGTAATGTGTGAAAGAAGAAAAGTAATTGTGGGAAAAATAAAGTACGTTTTCGTGCAGTTGCAATCGGTCTTTGTGGCAAATAAATATTTAAGTTTTCTGTGAAGTTATTTACGAAAAGCTGAATACTAAAATTGGTACTTACAAGGAAAGAATAAATATGTAATTAAAAAAAGACAAAATTAATATGAATAAAGTTTTGCTTTTGCAAGTGAAAATGAATTAGAATAACTTTCTAAGACATAAAAAATAAATAAAGGATAGTGCAATAAAAATTTTCCTAGTTCAAAAGCTTCAGCATAGAAGCAAATTCTTGGTGCAATAAAATTTAATGTTTTCCAACATCACAGCTCAGCATTGGATTTCTATGCCTGGTTGAAATATAATCCTATGCATCAGCGATGGAGTAACCTACCGGTAAGTAAACAGAAAATTTAAAAAGGGAACTTGGAAGCTTTGTAGTTAGTGATAGAACTTTTTAGAAAAGTATCGATACTAGTACTCATTTATAATACTCTAAAAAAGAATCGATGCCAGTACTCATATTTGCAAAAAAGTATCGATAATACTCGTACTTCCAAGTATTTTTAGGGCAAACGCGAAAAGTTAACAAAAATCAGATTGCTTTGTTTACATATAAAATTAGGAGGTCAAATGTACCCAATACATGTCGATATGTGGGTCTGGTTAAAAGCAAATACCACTTTTTTTGTGTGGGCCAGTGTTATCGAAGGTATGGCAAGAGATTCGTTTTCCAATTATTTAAGAAGTTTTAACCAAGCCAAATGTCCACATTAGGGATGTTGCGAATGTGAAATTCTAACCGCTAGAATCCGCGGATGCAAGTGCGAATGTATCGAGTCCTCGGTACTACTCAGTACTTATGAAAACTATAGATATTCTGTACTCGGTACTCGTGTCGTTCTATCACTATTTGTAGTTGTGCTCCTACTAGTAGCTTTTGCCCACAGCCTCGCCCGCGTGATGTTTGGTTAAATAACGCAATTTTTTTTAATGTAACAATGAACGGAACAAATAATTTCACCAAATACATATTAAAAAAAGTTAAGCAATTCAAATTAATGAAATAAACTGCAATACATTTCTGAAAACAACGTTTCGGGACTTACGTGTCTATGGCGTATATATAAAGATGTCTGGCTCTCGACACCCTCGAGAACCCAACGAAAAGTTTTCCGTATGACCAACATGGTGTGCCCAGATGTATCACTGTTTGTCCTTGGCTTTTATTAGTCGTTATCGTGGAGGCAATTTTTAACGGAAACTGCAAACACTTTAACTGAAATGACATGTTTGTTGCCTTTGCACATTCGAAGTGCATCCAGGTTACACATGTGACTGGCACTCCAACCTTTAACTCCATTTTGTGGGACGGCACCGCTGACAATTCTAAAGAGTTTAGAAACTCTGTTGGATATATTGTTGCATCCCCTTTTATCATCACTGTATCAACAGCCATGTATGTGGTCGCCTTACCAGTAGAGCTGGAGAAACATCGATGGAAACATCGATGGAAACATCGATGCATTGATGTTTTTTATGAGCTGCTAGCATCGATATTTTTGCAAATTGGAATCCTCTACATATATTTGGCGCGTAAAAACGTAAAACTAAGCAATTATTCATAAGTCAACAAAAATGTTAATAATATTTAAAAGACTTTAAAAACGTACCTCATTTACGTGATTAAATAATTAATATTAATATATACTAATATTAGTAGGATTAGTAGAATAGGATTAAAAAAATTATAGAACTATTGTTTTTGATTTTTGGTTAGTTTTTTCGAACTACTAAAAAGTATCTGCAGATGCAAAACGTGTTCAAACAATATTGGAATGTTTCAGTTTACTTATTAATTAAATTTATTTCAGCCGGTGGCAACTCTCTTTAAAATTATTTTTGTAATAAATCGTTTTTGAAACTCTATTGTTTGACACACACATTGTTGTAATATTTTATCTTATTTTATAAATAATTGATTTAAATTTTGAAAAAAGTGGCAACCCTCTTCAAAAAAAAACCTATACGTCCAGCCGTTTTAGCGTGAAAGGGCTACAAATTACACACAAACTTTCACATTTATAACAAGTATTAGTAGGATAGGATTAGATTTTTTATTACTTCACTATTTCTATTGCGACCATTCCATTTCAGGCGACCTTTTATTGAATTAGGCTCTCCCTGTTATACCATATACAATATTTTTATAAAAAATAACTACAAAAAACTACTTATAAAGGGCTGTTTGCAGCTATTAAGAAAAATAAAAAATTCATATAAATAGATTACAAGAAATGAAAAAGAAATTTTTTATCAAAATGTCTTAAATCAGGTTGCGGCTCTCAAGAAAAAAATGTGTTTCTTCGAGAAAATTTATAACAAAAGAAGTGTTTTTTAAGCAAAAAAAATAATGAAAAATATTTATTGTGACTTTTCTTGAGAGCTGGATTCTAAGCTTAAATTCAACATGTGCACGCTCGTTTGTGTCTCTGTAGATTTGCTTGATTTCGTTTATTAATTTGTACATATACAGTTCTTCATTAAAATGACCAAATCTCTCCGATTTTCTTAACTTAGATAAGAAAGTAGCAAATAAAAACAGTTATAAAATAAATAAAGTTAAAAAAAAATAAAAGATTAAACTGGCCCATGAGGGGATCGAACCCGCGACCTTCGCGTTATTAGCACGACGCTCTAACCAACTGAGCTAATGGGCCACATGTGAAATCGCTGCACAATGCCGCATATGAGATTGCGCTAATTTGATGTATTCTCTTGAACGTAAAGTTTTTGATTTGAGTGATATTTTATTTTCTATTTTATGCAGTTAATCTAATAAATACATTAATTATTATTTATGATAATTATTTACGAATTAAGTTTAGTATTGTCAAGATAAATTATTTCGATTGTAGTCAAGTGAGCACTCTGCCACCACTGCTAACATAGCCCGGCTAGCTCAGTCGGTAGAGCATGAGACTCTTAATCTCAGGGTCGTGGGTTCGAGCCCCACGTTGGGCGCAGCGAATTTTTTTATTTTTTATTTTTTAATATAAAATATTTTTTTTTTTTCATAATACCACATTTGTATATAGATATCTTGATATTAATTTAAAATAAGAAATAATATGACTAAACATGGGTCGACAGCTCTAACATTAATATACATAAATACGTACATACACGCATATTTTTTTAATTTTTTTAACATATTTATTTCTCGAAAATATAATATATGTAATAGCTGAATACATGTACTTATTACAATCGAACTTTCATAACTAGAAAAAAGAAAAAAGGTTACGATGCAGTCAGCAGAAATACTGCGGTTTTTGGCTTGGCGTTAATACTGCTGTTGAACAACACCAAGCCAAAGCGCAAAAGATAGAGTTTCAGAACAAGCTCGACAACAACAAAGAGTATGGTTCGAGGTGCATACATACGGCCCACTTGTTTTGCCAAGATGCCTTAACTCTAAATTAATTGAATGATGTTTGCCCACTACCATCTCCAAAAGCAGGCGGTTGCTAGATTTTGCTGCTAGCTTACTTGCTGTCTTCATTAGGGTTCAGTCTTCGCAGATGATTTACCAGTTTCATCGAAATCGAAACGCTCATCGCAGAGAAATTTTTGTGTGTTAGCATTTAATCTCATAAGATTTCTTTTCAAAAAGTGCTTATCAGTACATTCATCATGAGGAAAAGTACTGTATTCATGTATTCAGCTTACTCCCACATTATTTTGAGCATATACATACATATATAGGGTGTCCTAGACCACCCCCCCACCACCACTAAAATGTAGGGAAATGTTTTTTGTTAAAAAAACGCAACCATTTGACCTACCAAAAAGAGGATGCTCTTTCTGTTGACGGTATAACCGACTTCCGGTTTCGACCGGGTAGATCAGGTACGCAAAATATTAGAAAAGACGGAAGGGGATGGACAATAGCCATCTATCTGTTAATTTCAAAGCCGCTTTCGACTGCACGAAAAACAATTGCCTGTACACTGAGGGAAATAATGCATAGTAAAAATGAATACTTTCTATTTGAATATCGTTTAAAAATGTTCGTATTTAAAATCAGTATTTTCATACCAAAATTTAGCACGCTCGTATTTTAATGCCCACATCTGCATATATGTTTGTAAGTGTACATACCCTGCAGGAAATGTATCTAACTATAAGTTGATTAGGAAGGAACTAAAGGTCATTATTATCTGGATATTTTCTTTGACGAAAGCTAACTATATTTCTATGGCGATGGCCGCGAAATAGTCAAGGGTGGTTACCTCTGCATTTGATGTCAACTAACTTGTTATATACTGACAATTCCTGATGATATTAATAGTTCCTTCCTAATCGACTTCCCGTAGGGTGGGCGCCCAAATATGCTTGCCACAATATTTTTTTTTCCAGAGGTTCAGGGTCCGAATTCCATTGCAGGCAACATGTAAATTAAATATATATATATATATTTTTTTTTAATCTTGATTATTCACTTCACGGATGCTTTTTCAAAACGAACGCTGCATTTTAATATACGCGTAGTTGCTTGAATATTTATCACTATAACGTACTTTCGTTGACGCTTATAGTAAGCTCAACTATGTTTCTGATTTGATTTTACTATTTTTATCCGTCAGTGTACGCTGCGATTTGTGGGTTTTGAAACCCACACAACTTATACGTATGTGAAAAATTACGTTGAGCAACGTAAGAATTGGGAAAGACCTCTCCGGCTCATTTGCTACGAAATGGGGTTTCATTTTCTACCAGGCCAAATACAGAGAAAGAGTGAGGTCAGTTCAAACGGAAATATGTAACACCACCCAGAAGTAATGTGAAAAGTGATGCCAGGGTGGGCGAGTATTCGTGACCGGAGAAGTATTTTTATCTCCGGACATACGACTGCTGTAAAACGGCAGCTTTGATGATGTATTTACCATTTCAAAGATTTAATTATTATTATTTTTTATTTACTAATACATATACAAAGTATCTTTAATGGATTTTTCATCGTAATATTTTATGCTTGTTTTAAAGTTTTTACTCCAGACTATTCGTTTTCGTAACCAATAGCTTAACAAGAAAAATTGCATTTGAATTACGCTCGGAAACTTATTTAACCATTTTTCTTTTCCTTCTTAATATGTACACAGAATATTGTCAAACAAGTCTGGCGACTTGAACGTAGCACGTGCCTGCAACTAGTGCACCGCCGGCGTACAAGCATTCAATGCAATTTGCTTTGCCCAATCAGTGTCATTGCTGCCAATTGAAATCAGGTTAACAGGCAAAAACTTTTTAAGGAAATTCTTCGACGCTTGCAGAATAGTAGTTGGCCGGGAGGTTACTAGTGTCAGTAGACATACATACTAATGTATGTATGT